ATATATATATATATTTGTGATGCACTGCTAGCCGTTTGTATTCTCTTCTCTCAGGGTGACGATATTAAAATCTCATGGCCACGAGAACTTTCAGCGAAAGAAGACATATTACCTGAAACTTAGAGCGCTCATATTCAGTTGTCTTCGATCTCCTTTGCAGAGTGTCCCTACCACAGACCTCTTGGCTTTGAGGCTGGATCAGTGAGTCAAGAACAGATTACCTGCTCCAACCAGGACCAGTACACTGGCTGGTTCTCCTCATGGGTACCGAGTAAGGCGCGACTCAACAGCCAGGGCTTTGGGTAGGTATATATATATATATAGGCCAGCACCACACAGCCAACTGTTGTGTCTCTTTAAAAAAAAGATCATGACTCTTACCATCTGTGAGGAAAAGTGTAGTAAACACACTCCTTATGTACATTTTGTTACTTAAACACACCAAAATGCTCTTGCTTAAAAAACCATATAGATGAGACAAAATGGGAAAAAAAACATACTGTAAGAAACCATACAGAATCTAGTAGGACTTTTTAAAAATGCTAAATATTGTATTTTCTAAGCATTAAGTTGAATCCTTTCTTTCATTTTCTCTCTTTCCGAAAACAAAACATCATATCGCATGTTAAAAACTGTCAGTTTCCTCAGAACACAAAACAACAGGATTTTATCTTTAGAGAAGATATTGTAAAAACAGCACAGGCACAGTAAATTTCTCTGTCCTGCGTTGTGCTAAACTCTCGTGACCAACTATGATATTTGTTGTATAAATCAGTGCTGATATTAAATGTTTTTCTTTCTCCTCCAGCTGCGCCTGGCTGTCTAAGTTCCAGGACAGCAGTCAGTGGCTGCAGATTGACTTAAGGGAAGTGACGGTGGTGTCAGGGATTCTCACTCAGGGCCGCTGTGATGCCGATGAGTGGATTACCAAGTACAGTGTTCAGTACAGAACAGATGAGAAGCTCAACTGGATCTATTACAAAGACCAGACTGGAAACAACAGGGTCAGTTAAGTGCACTTTGGATACACTGACGTTCAACACTTCAAGTATGGAGGCCTGAAAGTGCCTAAATTAATAAATAATATGACATGAACTGTATGAAAATATAATATAAAAAAAATAAGGAGTCTGTATTAATTGACCTTCAGTTCCTTTTATTTTTTCATCTTTTTTGTTTATGTATTTATGCAGTATTTGACAGTTAAATAAAATACTAAATTGAATGGAACATAAATAAACAGAGGAATCAATATAACAGTAACCTAATTCAAAAGACATTTATGTCAGCGAATTTAATTGCTGCCAACATTTTTTAAATATATTTTTTCTATGTATTCAATGGTTTTTAAATTTCTTTTTTGAGCCATTTATTATTCTCTTTATTTACATTTTTTTATGTAATGCCCTTCATACTCAGACACCGGAGGTTTCTTTTGGATTAGGCTAAGAATGAGGCTACATAGTTCTTTGTCCATGCCTCTTTGCATGAAACTTTAGGCATTTTATATTTGCCTGATACTGACGTCATGAGAAGTCATATTTTAGAAGTGATTTAAACTGTTAATCAGTCATTTTAAAACCAACTGAATGATAACTGTTTGCAAGTCAACTACCACAGCGGTCTCCAACCTTTTTTGCGCCACGGACCGGTTTATGCCCGACAATATTTTCATGGACCGGCC